TAATAAAAGATCGATACTTGGCGTCCGTGTATCGATACAGTATTGCCGTGGAAAATATCGCTACTATGCTATATCGATTTTCCCCCCCACCCCTAATGGTTACTGGTGTTTTTTTACGTGCTGTATTACATAGTCATTATCTATGGCGTTTCACTTTAATTATGTAGCCTACGTGCAGTACTTATTTTTGACAAATGTGGTCTAAAAATAAAGGATGTATATTTTTAAATTACAGAAATCGGTGTATATGTAATTCTATGTAATAATATGATGTGGGGAGCGCAAAAATACAAAAACAACACCTTCGCTGACCGGGAGTCGAACCCGTGCCGCGGCGGTGAGCGCGCCAAATCCAAACCACTAGACCACTAGGAATAGGTCTAATCAGTGTAACACTAGAATTAGAAACACTAGAAAAACACTAGTCCCGGCAAACAGCACGATATTAAAACAAGGTACGTTTGGTATTTATTTTTTTTTTTTAAAGCATTAGGTTTTACCAAATAATATCACACACAAGTTATCCCTTTATATTATATATTTAATGTAAATTTTCAGGGAACAGCATTAGTGTACACGGAAGCCTAAAATATATATATTTTTCGAAATTTAACAAAAAATGTTTTGCGATCCCAAGATACATTTTAATAAAATCCAAATGCATGGACTAGGTGGAGTGCAATATTGCACGTTTTGTCCTCGTAACGTTAATCCTGTTATGCTGAGCTATCAGAAAGGCCAATGGCGAGCTCATTATCACCTATTTTTTGTGGTGACACTAGATAAATGTTTACCAGTACCAGCGTGTACGCCAAAACTAAAATAAACCATGACACTAGTAAACATGGTATGTTGTAATAGCCGTATAAGCTAAATGGATAATTCTAGTCGTAATACTGTAAGACCTCGTGGCGCAACGGTAGCGCGTCTGACTCCAGATCAGAAGGTTGCGTGTTCAAATCACGTCGGGGTCAATATACGTTTTCACTTGTCACGCTGTGTCAAATCAATTCAATTGGCTGTCAAAATTTATTTTTTATTATTGTCCTATAAATTTGTTTTGATTGCACCATCTGATCATCATGACACATATATGCACACACAGGGTTTCTTTAGAAATAACCAACATTTAATAAATATACGGTTCTTCTGTAACAAAAAGTATATGTTACATATACAAGCTTTGAAATCTCATGCAAGTGAGAGACTGGTCCAAAGTTACTGGACTTTCACTGTGAAGGAATGTTGAGGACTGAGAGTTCATCCACAGCAGAGACCATGCCCGAAGTCTGTCATATTTGGACCACATTTGTCAAATATACAATTAATTGATAAATTCACAATAAAAGGCCTACAGTGAAATTAGATTGTCTTTAACTATTATAAAACATCTCCAAACTTCCTTCATACTCTTGCAGTCAAGGAGAACAAACTAAAAAAGTAATTTTGTGCAACAGTTGACTTCCTCTTTCAACAAACTTAGTTTCCTGTGTAATAATCACTCATTATGACACATCTACCACAACACGCATACATTAACACATACAAAAATAATAAAAAGAAAATAAAGTACAGTCAGTAGACTGAAATTATTAGCAACACCAAAGCATACAAATAACAAAACATTTAAATCAAATTTAACTGAAAAAAATGACTTTATTATACAACATTAAAACTAGGTTTTAGAATGCCTGATATCACTGTATGAAACTGTTGCCACAAGCAACAATGGTCCTATATAAGCTGTATTTCTTTCCTACAAAACTGCTGATTAAAGTGGCTCAGTTTTGTCAATACTACAAGTTGTTAATTCAAGTAAAGGCTTTACGTGCTCATAAAATGCATTGTTTATTGCTTCAAAATATTCACAAGAATATTTGAGAGGACCTTTCAGTTTTGGATTAACCTCACTATTTTTGTGTTGTTCAGAAATAAGAGATCAAGCTTGTTGTAGTTTGGCGGGTTGGCTAGAGGGTCATAACCTAAGCGACTTAACATCGGGGCAAGGCTGGCCATATCATTCACCACGTCAGCAGGGATCTTGCCCACCCATTTAGACAGAGCGTCTGTATTCACTGGCTTGACTACTTGATCCGTTGACAGCTCCACCCTGGAGGAGAGACGGGGATCATAGAGACAATGAAAAAACATACATCTATTTAGAAACACTGTAGTTAGGATTATAGTAGACAAGGTCTAAGTGCTTGTCTAAGATATCATGAAATTAAATTAATCTGCCTTCTAGAGATTAAGTCTGTAAAGTGACCACATCCCAAATTGCAGTAAGAATTGAAAATTAAAATCTACTTATTCCAGAGGGAGATGTTTTAAAGGGGTGGTTTACTGGGTTTTTTCTAGGCTTGATTGTGTTTATGGGGTGCAGTCTAACATGTGTTAATGCTTCGTTTGAAAAAAAAAAAACACATTTTTCACATAATTTACCTTTATTCCACACCGCTCTGTCCCTTCTCTGAGAAACGGGCTGATCATTTCCTTCTTTTATGAAGCCCCTCCCTCAGAAATACGCAATGGTTTAACTGATTCGGAGTTTTAAAAAGCTCCGTTGTGTTCTTTGCTGGCTTTCTCTATATAGCCTAATTTATTCGTTGTTTGAATAACCGTGGAAATAAAATCATTACAATTAATAGGCCTAACGTAGGCTACAATGTTTTTATTAAACTGTGATCACGTTAAATACAGTTTCCGTCGTATTAAAAACATTTCATAAAAAGGTTTCAAAAGCATCCCCCCCTCTGGTTTTTTTCACAAATCGCACCCTGGGTAGGCCTATGTTTTTTGTTTGTTGTTGTCTCATACTTTTAGATACACTGTTATTTGTAAATGCTACTGCTTATGTTAGCCCTCCCTTTTCCCGAGGGCGGGGTTTATCTGGGTTTGTGATGTCACGAACCCAGGAAGTAATTCATTGTAGTCCCTATCAGACGTTTTTGTAGGCATTAAACTGCCAGAATTTTAAAAGACGATATCTCCGTTTGCATTGAACTTTCAGCTTCGTAACTTTGCAGATATTGTTTATGCTCAAACAGCAACATTAGACACTAACTAACGTTAAAAAAGTGAAATCGCAATGAACTACCCCTTTAACATCTTCCACCGGTTCCATTATTACAGAACTGTCACCCAATTCATGAGGTCTTTGTAAATACTTGCTGATCAAACAAACACCCGGTTTACTTCTAATTTATTTGTTTTACCGCTTGTACTACAGAGGCTATTTACATAGAGAGCACTAATTCAACTCTTGACAAGGAAACGTAAACCTGCATGTTTGATCCATTATCTGGAAAAGCCGTAAATGTAAAAGGAAACAGTGAATGAAAATTCTTGACAGGGTCAGACTTGATGGGAACAAAGTTGTTTTTCTTTTACCTTTTTTTTTTTTTTTTTTAATGCCATATCAGTATCGGATTAAAAATTATATGGCCACACATTATATGCAGGGGTAAAAAATGGATATGGTCATAAATTAAGATTTAGTTTCCTGGTTTTAGGTAAATTGTGGCTACATGGTTCTAGTTTGTTCCCTTGTTTTAAGACTGGAATATAACACCTTTTGCCCCCCCCTCCGTTTGCTATTCAGAACAACACAACCTTGTTTCTGCAAGGATGTTCAGCATGCTTTCTACAAACAAGGTCTGACGTGTTTACTTTTTACATGGCATGAGATTGTATTTATTTCAGTGTTTTATTTTCCATTTATTTAGACAAAAAAATGTAAGAATTATCACATGAATGTGACAAAAATCTCTCAAAAGTGTGACAGCAAATAGCTCAAAGCATCAAACTCACTCACTTTGACAGTGAAACACCACCAGCTTTCCCAATAAGCTGTTCGTGGTGCAGCACGGCAGTGTCCCACGGCAGATCCAGGAACTGAAGGAGCTTGCTCATCACCCGCTCAGGGTGCAGGACCAGCTGCTCGTAATGCACAGGCAGACAGTTGCCATCCGCTGCAGCCAGGCACTGGTCATACATAACCTCCACCGCCCGGTTCCACTTCACCAAACAGTCCCGGTAACTTGTCAAGTCGAATCCGGTGATAGTCACCTTGCGGGAAATCATAGAATGTACGGTGGCCCTGCCATCGCGGAGCATAAGAATAAATTTTGCTTTTGGGAAGAGCTTGGAGAGGTAGGTGAGGGACTTGAGAGCAAAAGGGTCCTTATTGCAGAGCCTCGGAGCGGGCTCGCCGTGCCCCACTATGATCTCCAACAGGAAGGCACGTACAGCTGAATCCAGGACCTCATCGGTGACGCCAGCCTCGTCCAGACGGACACGTTCACGTGCGGAGTGACTCCATGTGGCCTGCATGGCTAACAGCCGGGGGATGACGCGGGTCTCTTCTCCACACCGAACCAGAGGGTGGGCGTCCAACATAGCCCGCATCAGTGTGGTGCCGCTACGAGGGACTCCGCCAATGAAAATGAGAGGGGTTTCCTCATTGTACTCCTCAGGGAGTTGTAACGGGTCGCTTAGGTTTCGGCCAGCTTGTAGATTTACCGCCCACCCATGCTGTGCCGCATGAGAACGAGCAGTTGGACATTCTATCGTGCTGAGGCCAAGATAAAATACTGTGATGGAGCTGATGACCCCACAGACCAGAAGAACGTTGCACGTTTGTTTTCTCATGACTTATAGTTAGTGGAGAATGCGGTTTGTGGTTACAAAAAAGGAGAATGAGGCAAAACAAAATGGGCAAAACAGACTTAGCAGAAAGGGAAGGTCAAGAGGGATCTTGGAAAGACAGAGACAATGCTTTCCAGAAAGGTTCACGGTGAAAGAATGTCGAAAGGCAGCTTAGGTAAAGTTTTTTTGGGGGAGGGAAGGGATGGGCAAATTTTTTCCAGCCAGCAGCTCTTCAGGCCTTTGCTTGGAGCTTCAATAAATTCAGACTTCGTAAGTCAAGCCTTATGTTTTCTGTCAGCACCATTGTGCCTGTGAAAAAAGGGGAACACTTTCAAAAACAGATCTTGCCAGGTCTGTTTCAACATTGGCTACTAGGGTGCATCTCATGTTACATTAAATGTCACATCTAATACCATTACAGTACAACATTACGGTAATAGTATTAGACAATTACAGCTTGCCTCGAATTGCAAGCCAAAACACAAAGGAAAATTTCCTGTAAAATTCAACTAGAAAAACAACGTAATGCTGCGAAAGGATGTTGTGTGTATCTTGTAGGTGTCATATCTAGCTTATGATTGTAAAGATTGTCAGTTATCCAGGTCAAAGTAGAATAAATCTAGTATAGTGGATCTTAGTCTTTAGAACTCAATATCTAAGACAATATTCAACAGTACTGATATGCTATAATGATGACAATGCTATACGTTTTCAAATTTCATGGACAGAAATTATTGAAATAATTTGTTTTTGATGAAATTAATATTAAAATAAGAAATAATGTGTCAGTTTAGATGTTGTTTATCTTCATTCTTAGCGGTTGACCTACTAATCTACCAGAACATCTAGTTTCCCTTTTGCACACGAGCAGGTACGTTTTGGTTACACTGCTACCTCTATGTGTGCAGGTTACACTACCTCGGTTTTTGAGTGTCAACAGCATCTTTCACATATGTAAACTTTGGCAAAAGTTTTAACACCTTTCAGCAGCAAAGCATCCTGTTGTGGCAAGAATCTGTGGTTGCATTTGAGATGCACATAGGTGTTATTTGTGACGCATGCAATGCATGAAACATTAACACCTGATATTTTTGCACATACATAAATGTGTTAAAGATTAATTTTTATAGAGATATTTATTCTGGAATATAAAGCCCTTATATGGAGATGATTGGGTGATTTTTATGTAAATTACTAATCTTGTTAGTATGTGTTGCTCATTTAGAATACTCCAACTACATTAACATTAAAACTATAGGTTAAGAACAAATTAATGCATGTATGCACATGTTGTGAATTAGGCGGAAATTAATTCTAATAATGTGTTTAAATAACCCCCCCAGTTAGTAGCGAATGAAACCTGACTGTTCCTAAACAAGTTTCTACTGAACACTTTCTATGTCTCCCATTGGTCGAACAAAAAGATAGTCCCACCCCAGACTCACGCCATTGGTTGAGCCAGGTGAAACTCATCAAATTATAGCTAGTAATCTATAAGTAACTTCTCTGCATATTAATCAGGAATAGAAGAATTTTAACAAATAAGTATATATGCTTACTACTTTGGTTGCTGACTGTGGTCTCCATTCTTCTAGAGACGTGTCTGAAAACGCATTCTACCTAGACAGCATATAGTGTGTTCAACGTTGGACCGCATTTTTGGGTATCACAGTTTGAATTCCCAAAATAATAATAAAGGCGTACTGCCGCCCGTGCAGAAAAAAATGTTCAATGACATCAGAGCGCTTCCGTATATTTTGTGGGAAACGTACACGTACTGAAATAATGCAACAAGTAGACAGAGCTGTAACAGATCCATTATAATATGTGGTCGGCTCGACGGTCATCACCGTGTATAGTTAAAACAAAGCTGAACGCATTTTTTTTCAGTTCATGTGCATCACTAGGATGCATAAGCTGCGTGACAAGAAGACACGTTTAAAATGGTTGTAAGGGAAATCGAGGACCGAATCTACCCGAGATTAAAGTTACTCGCCAGCACGACTGGCGGCCTGCGACAAGGAAACTATGAGTGAAACACGTTCACAACACCCCCCCAAACAACTCTATTAGTTTGAACAATTCAGCGAGAAACCCGAGCGTATCTCTTACCGTACAGAAAGTACAACTCCTCGAATCCTTACATTCTCCAGAATCACGTGTGTCTGATGAAATGCAGACGTGATGATCGTGTAAACGGAGCTACGAAGCACTGACTTTGAGAGTTAAAGTCTCGTGAATCTTAAGCGCATACGTGAGAAATCGGTCTAACCATTTCGATTCCAGCGAAAAACTGGAAATTAGAGGTCTTTTAAATTCACACCAGTTACCACAGCGCTGAAGAGGAACTCTTAACTTTCATTGGCTACAGCAAACCTCTATTGCCAATCAGGTGGTTTTCTCTTTATGACATGGCATTGCCGTCATAAATCAAACTCGTGTCGAATATATAATCAGTCTCTATTGTCCTCAGAAGAACTGTCAATGAGAACACATTTTTAATCAATATAATCATAAATGTTTTGAGATTTAATATAAAATAAAGAATAACCTTCAATTTTAATGTCGCACTGTTTTCTGAAGGGCTGCAATGAAAAAAAGCGTCTTGAAGTGACACAAATTCACATTGCTGCTTTAAACTTAAAGTTACAAGTAAACTTAGTTGTTACAAGAGCTCAATCTTGTAGTCACGCACTGACATCTCATATTCACACAGTTGGGTCAGTAGAGAGTTTGTCAAATGATAAATGGCCTAATTAACATTAAACGCCCAGGTTTGCTTTGCTCAATCTCTCTCAAATCAAACCTTAAAATGGTCACTGATTATACAGCATAATTATGTGCCAAATTAAATACAGGAAGGATGCCAGAGAAGAAGTGAGATTGTCTTGACTCCAGAAGATTATATCCTTCCCCTCCTCCAAAAAAAAAATATCAATGCAACTCCTACAAATAAGTTGAAAAAGCTGACAAAATCATATATGGTACTTCTTTATTATTTGCTAGTACAATATATACATCAGGAACATTTTTGTTAGACATCGCTTTATATTAGCAAATATTAGCACTAGCACTATCAACAAATCTGAAGTCAAATCTGAAGAGAGTTTCTTTTGTGTTTGAAAATACACACACACACACATCTCTCTCTATCTCTCTCTCTCTCTCTCTCTCTATATATATATATATATAATTGAGTTTGCAGGGGTGATGTTACTGGTCTGTCTCCATCTCAGGGTCAGCAGATGCATCAGCTTCTTTCTGAGGGTCACCAGGCAGGACGTCCGTGACTTTCTGTATAAGTTCATCAATCTGTTCTTCTGTCAGTCTTTCCTCGCTCTCCTCTACCATCTGTAAGGTTAGGTCATATATAGGTTATACACCTATCATCCAGCGCTGGCCATTCAGAAAACTATCCTTTCTCTCATCAATCCCTTCCACTAACTTATTACAGGTGCGCAGAAAAAGCCTGGGGCTTTAGGGTACAAAACTCATACTTCATTTTTACTTGTAATAACATCAGTAATAATATTCTTAATATTATAAGTTTATATAAAAAATTGCCTTGTCAAGTATAAATTGTTTATCTGAAAATATTTTCACATTTACTACTTCATTTTCACTGTTTGTTACATATTCTTGTATGCTTAATGTTCCTTCAAGTCTAATTTCTAAACAACAATCTGAATATGCCATTTGCTTATTATGGTGTATTTTTATTATCATTCAAATATAACAATGCAAAGCTGCTGTTGGCTAAACTAGAATGTTGTAAGACCACTACTGCTCAATATCCATACATGTACCAGTCTCTCAGATTGCATAAAGATATTATACGAGTATATTTTTGCTGAGAACATTGTTTTTTTTTAAATAAGCTGACTGGCAGGATGGCACCATTACAAACAAGTTGGCATATTGAAGAAATTACTGACGGGAGTATTGAGGAGATTCCAAAAAGAAAAAAGGAGGATAACACCCATAATGAGATCAAAGGTTGAAGAATATAAGTGTGAGGTGCAAGTGAGATGGTCAGATGTTCTGCCGGCATCTTGGCTTTGTTGACTAGACCAATAAAGTCTGATTTTGGCATCTGGAACTTCTTGACTCAAGAGATTTCTTTGAGAAAGAGAAGATTTTCTACAACATTATACACTACCGTTTGGGGTTTGTAAGGTTTTCTTCATGTTTTTTAAATTAGTCTCTTATGCTCACCAAGACTGCATTTATTTATTTATGATATAATAATTTTAAATAACCATTTTCTATTTTAATATTTTTCAAAAGGTAATTTATTTCTGTAATGGCAAAGCTGAATTTTCAGGATCATTACTCCAGTCTTCAGAGTCACATGATCCTTCAGAAATCAGTCTAATGTACTGATTTGTTACTCAAGAAACAATATCAGCAATGCTGAAAACAGTTTTTGCTGCTTTATGTTTTTTGTGATAAATTATTTCAGGATTATTTGTTAAATCTTTCACGATTCTTTGTAAGATTAAATTAACATTTATTTTATACAGTTACATTATAAATGTCTTTACTGTCACTTTTTATCAATTTAATGCATCATTGCTGGGAAAACAAACAAACACATACTGACCCTAAACTCTTGAACGTACATTCGTAGTACTCTCTGAGAAATGGGCAAAGATGTAAAGAAGAAGACAGGGTATTAAAAAAAACAAACATGAATGAACAGTGTCTTACCAGCTGGATCTCAACAGCAGTCTGAGGTCTGTGGTTAAGGAGCTGCAACTTCTCGGCTCTTTAAATAGGAAAGAAAAGAAAAAAAAGTACCAGCAGTCAGTCTATCAACTTTTGTCACAGTTTACAAACAGGTGCAGTAATACTAGACTCACTGTCAACTGCAAAACAGCAACTCAGATGTGCACTGTAGTCTCAAACATCACGACACAAATTTTCATAATGATACATCTCGAACTTAGAATTACAAAGTGGTTGTATACACTGTATTTAGTGTGACACAGTCGGTGCTTGTCACACTGTTTGTGACAGGTCTATAAAGGCTGATTTATACTTCTGCGTCGGACCTACGCCGTAGCCTTTACGCCGTAGGCTATGCGCCAGTTTTCATTTATACTTCTGCGTCGTTGTCCGCGTCAACGTGCAGTACACATGCAAACCGCTAGTCTGCAGTGTCCACGGGCATGTTGCTGGTGCAACCCGCAGTACCACGGCAAAAGCCGAAGAAGAAGCGGCTCGTCGGAGAAGCATTACACGCTACGGCGTAGGTCCGACGCAGAAGTATAAATCAGCGTTAAGTTTTCCTATGCCTGTGTTTTCCACAATAAAACAAGGCATTTTGGGGCAAAATAAGGAATAAAAAAAGAACGTTTTCTGTAACTCACTTAGTGAGCTTGTGAGGCAGCATTGAAGTGAGGAACTTCTTCACAGTGTCTGGATTCTGATGAGCACACGGCGTCTTGGAGAGGTACTTCAGGGTCTACTGAGGCAGACGCATCAAATGTTAAAAGGCATGAGTGATCAGCCCCATCTGAAGATCATGATGAAAACAAACTCTCATAGACCGAAAATTTTATATCATCTTGGTTTAAGAGATGTTTCAAATCATATCAAAAACATGCACCTCATACATGATGGTGTTGAGATTCTGCTGTCCTGTGCTGTGCTTATTTTTAACCATCTCCTTTCTTTTTTCTTTCAGGTCTGTCAGCAACTGATAGACCTGATGGAATAGAGTGCATTTGTACAGTCACAATTAAACTCAACTGAAGATTTTACTTGAGATGCACAACATGCATTTCTGATAAAACACACATAGAACTGCATAACACACAAAATTAATCTAAAAAGTTTTAAAATTCATACTGACCTCATAGTTGCTTAGCATAGCGGCATTGGCATCCCTTCTACAAAACAAAAGGTTTACATTAGGATTAACTCATGTTAAATCGCCTAAAATTGTGTTCTAACAGCAGCTATAATAGCCTTTTGGAGCATTGTAACAAGCACAGTTGCATTTTGTGCATTTGCAATTTTTTCGTGTGTGAGCAAAGGGAAGCTCCAACTCAAGTAGGGCTGAAACGATTAGTTGACATTATCGACAACGTTGACAATAAAAAAATGGTCGACAAATCTTTTTGTTGTCGAGTAGTCGTTAGATCTCATATGGCCTAATGTAAGAGCCTGCAATAATGCTGTTTGACCAGTGTGGCGCTGTAGCACAAGACAGTAATTCAGCCCTCCTGGATGCAATTCAAGAGAAGAAGACAGCACTTCAGAGTAGGGATGGGCGATACCACTTATTTTGTTTTCGATACGATACTGATATTTTTCAAGGCAGTATCGTCGATATCGATACCGATACGATACTTCTGAACTAAACTTTTAAATTATGAAATTAATAAATTACTAAGAGTAAAATGGGTAATGATAACCACTTAACTTTGTTTAAAACACATTTTAAAATTCAATACGCCTTAATTGTAACTTATTAGGTTATCTTTTTGTTTACACATGGTTCAAATATGTTTTTTGTTTACACATGATTCGAATCTACAAATACTACAGTTGATCTACGGTCACTTTAGTAAAACCATGGTTAATTTTCATAAGGGACTGCCAGTGACAGGCTGTTGCATGCATAAAATGCAACCTTTTTATTCTTGCAATAACACTGTTTGACCAGTGTGGCGCTGTAGCGCAAGACTGTAATTCAGCTCTCCTGATGCAATTCAAGAGGAGAAGACACAACGCTTCAGTTCAGAGCAAACGCAGCCAAACATAAAGCTGTTGAGCGGCGTTTGGATGAATATGTAAATATATGCTGCACGCTTTCCTCTCAATAACAAAAACTGACCGCAGTGTGAAAGCAGCAGTTATGAAGGCATCTGATTACAGCCATGTGGATGTTACTAGAATTCTGCAGTTCGGTACTCCAGTAAAGTCCAGTCACGTCACATTTATTTATATAACTTAGTACTTTATGCAATAGATAGCCTTAAATCAAGCAGCTTTACAGTATTAAATAACAATATTTTAACTAATCGCAAAAGTTGAATAATAAAATGTCTACTGATTAATCAGTGAAATAATCGATGATTAGTCGATCAATCGTTATAATAATCGTTAGATTAATCAATTATCAAAATAATAATTTGTTGTAGCCCTTAAAGGGTTAGTTCACCCAAAAATGAAAATTAGGCTGCGTTTTACTCACCCCCGAGGCATCCTAGGTGTATATGACTTTCTTCTTTCAGACGAATCCAGTCGGAGTTATATAAAAAAATTGTCTTTGATCTTTCAAGCTGTTTAATGCCACTCAGCAGGTGTTGCATTGCTTCAGTCCAAAAGAACTTAAATACAAATCGACCATCCATAAAAAAAAGTGCCTCACACGGCTCCGGGGGGTGAACAAAGGCCTCCTGTAGCGAATCGAAGAGTTTTTGTAAGAAAAATATCCATATTCAAAACGTAATAAT